TGTTGTTTGTGTGTTAAGGGGCGCTGTGGTGTTGCTGTGTGTTGTGTTAAGGGGTGCTGTGTTGTGTTAAGGGGCACTACGAGGTAAAGTGCACTGCAATGTAAAGGGGGACTGTAATGTAAAGGGGACTACAATGTGCAAGGTACGCTTACAACGATAATGTACGGGGGGATCATGATGTGCAATAGCGCTAGCGAGATCTGGACCTCTCCTGGAAAGAAATTTTGCTGACTGGACCTCTGTAAATTTTAATTCTGCTCTAGAGATTGCTGTAACCATTAAGTAACTATTCTCATAAATAATCTTTTTAGTTATCTGTAAGATGGGAATTCTTCCACTGTCCACAAATGTAGAGAGCACTCTTCCCACCGACCATCATGCTAATGTACAGTGATCTGTAGTTAAAGTAATTATTAACAGGGGGTTCCTAAGATCAAAAAGTTATTTCCATGGTTCTCCAGTATTAAAAAGGTTGACAAATAAACCAAAACAAGAGTAATCGGGATTTTAAATGACGTTGAAAACCTCCCCCCCATAAAACACTCAAAAATACATTTTCATGAAACCAAGATTTTTATTACAAAATATCATTAAAATCATGCCCCCCCCGCACCCTGTTGGGGACACAGGAGCAGAAGATAGGTGATATGCATTACACACTGCATCTTGTATTAGAGATTGTCAATTTCATAACAAAATAAAAATCCAATATTTCTGACCTCCATTACAGGAGTGTACCCCAAAATATTTTAATTATATTTTGTAATAAAATATTTAGAGGATAATTTAGGGGAGTGTCCCCTGAAATATTTTAATTATATTTTGCAATAAAAATCTTGTTTTTATGAAATTGTCTTTTTGAGTGTTTTCTGGGAGGATATTTTCAGCACTGTTTAAAATCCTGATTACTCTTCTTTTGGTTTATTCTTTTTATGGCTTTGGGATGAGGAGCTGAGCCATACAACTGGACCTGTTATTTTTTTTCTTGTGCAATAAGGTTGAGAAAGCCTGCCTAAAACTGGCCATAGATGGATCGAAATTCAACAGGTTCAGCAGATTACGATCAATTTATGGCAGGTCCCACTGGCCAATGGCTCCACTGCTGTGTCTGAGCCAATGAGGAGGTTGAGAGCCAAGAGAGCCTCTGCTCTCGTGCACATCGCTGGATCGAGAGTGGGCTCAGGTAAGTATCGGGGAAGGGGAGCTGCATGCAAAAAGATTTTTTTACCTTAAGGAACAGAATGCATTAAGGTAAAAAAGACTTTCTGCCTTTAAAAGCACTTTAACGGGATATGACCATGCTACTGCCGTGAAGTCACCACAACAGTTATCAATTACTTACAATGCAACATTCTTTATTAGTGAACTGCTCCTTCCATAAGCATGAAAATATTGTGGATTAGTGCCTGTGCTTACCCATACAACACTTTAAAAAGACATACTATATAAATGCATATGTGGAAAAGAAAATATCTTTCCTGTTGTTGCAGTCATGTGAGGCTAGAACAGCCCCTAGTACATATCTGTGTCCATCTGAAAGCAAACACTAATTAGGCAGCAAGAACACCTTCATCTCTATGGAAGGAATCCCTGTTATAATCACAATTTTCCTTAAAAGACCATTTTGTGAGAATTCCTCTTGGATGCAGTCCATAAAAAGCATTCCTCCTTCACCACCTTTTTTGTATGCATATCTCTTTCCAACATCTTTGCTGGCTTTGGTAAGTCTTTGTAAAAATACTTTGCCCAAGGGCTGTGTGTATGAAAGTTCATGAGAAGACAACACCTTAGAACAGCCTCCTATGGGAATGTGTGCTAATTGTCTACTGGGAAACAATGAGGCGAAATTACTGAAGGCAAATAGACTGTGCACTTTGCAAATGCGGTTTTCCCCAGACGTTAGTAAATGTGACAAAGCTCTGCTGATTTCCATCATCCATTCATGTGCAAGCAAAAATGCTTTTTTTTGTTTGTTTTTTTTTTTTTTTTGCACCTGATTGAGTATTCTTTACAAAGTGAATCATTACCACATTTACTAAGAAAAACGAGCATAACTGCACTTGCAAAGAGCACAGTTCATTGCTTTTGTAAATCCCCCCCCAATGAATCCTGATGATCTAAGCTTATTGTAGAACTTCAGTATGCAAACATTTTTTCCAATGTTGGATAGGGTGGAAAGGGATAGAACATTCAAACGTTTTTACTGCTGTCTGTGCCTTTGGGAGAGATTTACCACCACATTCCGCTTTAGTGACACAACAGGATACAAGTAGATTACCTTCAAGGGGACACATGATTTTAAACTATCCCCACTCTATTGATAAAACCTGTATGTGTCCCTGTAGAAGAGATTCTCCTTGTGACAAATTGTAGGGACATCTCCTCAACTTAGACACAAATGGCAAAATGTAAAGTTAGTGCTAGTCCTTCCCTGTTTTATCCAAAACTAAACAAAAAGCTTTTTTTTCTGCTGAATCATCTAGAGAAAAATTAGGGTACTCACAGGCATTGTATGACAATCATCCAATTCATCAATTTCTATTTAGGTATCTGTGTCCTTTTAGCTGGCTGAGTACTAAGTTCAGCGGGAAACAATTTATTGTGCAGGTTAGGAAACCTATACTAATTGCTATTGTTTACCATTGATAAGATGGCACCACTCCTGTTACTGGCTCTTCCCCCCTCTCTAGCTCTGTCATCTGCTTTTCTATGCTGAAAGAAGTCAGATCATGCCTGAACCATGAGAGAAAAACACAACTTTTTTTTTTTATAAAACTCCCCTAAAATGGACATTTCCTACTCAATGGTGGCAACCGTCCCTTATTTTCTGGCAAAGTCCTGCAGCTATGTGCTCTGTCCAATTGAGCCGTGCCTCAAGATCACAGCATCACTCTTATTTGAGTGACTGAGCATGCATTTGCTCAAAAAAGGGTTTTACTGAGTGGTTCATGGTCACAAGTGGGGGTGGTTTCTGCATAATTAGCGATTGTACAAAATAGGCATGAAGTGGCTGTGACCACCCAGAGAGTTGGCAAGAATTTGCTTTGACCACCCAGAAAGAGGGCATGAATTGGCTGGGACCACACAGAAAGAAGGCATTAATTGGCTGCAACCATCTAGAAAGTAGGCATGAATTTTCTGGGACTACAGAGAAAGTAGGCATGAATTTTTGGGGACTACAGAGAAAGCAGGCATGAATTGGCTGAGACCACCCACAAAGAAGGCATTAATTGGCAGGAACCAGCTAGAAAGTAGACATGAATTTTCAGGGACTACAGAGAAAGTAGGCATGAATTGGCTGAGATCACCCAGAAAGAAGGCTTTAAATAGCTGGAACCAGCTAGAAAGTAGACATGAATTTTCTGGGACTACAGAGAAAGTAGGCATGAATTGGCTGAGATCAACCAGAAAGAAGGCATTAATTGGCTGGAACCATGTAGAAAGTAGGCATGAATTTTCTGGGACTAAAGATAAAGTAGGCATGAATTGGCTGAAATCACCCAGAAAGAAGGCATTCATTGGCTGGAACCATGTAGAAAGTGGGCATGAATTTTCTGGGACTACAGAGAAAGTAGGTATGGATTGGCTGGGACCATACAGAAAGTGGTCAGGATCACCCGTAATGAGCGCTTGATATGTGCAGGCTTTGGCCAAGGGTGACAGTGTTCCTGGAGGTTGGGACAAAGATGTTGGCAAGTATGCAATACTGAGACTGCTCATGTGATGCTCATGTGATATATCCCTCTTGGCACTTGGAAATAGGAACTGATGGGAATCCATGTGTAAATTTAAAAAACAGCAGCAATTTAGTGTATGCTTGTTACATTTCTTAAAATGATCTTATTTGCTTACTTTTAGTCTTTTACATATAACATTGAAAGTGTTTTGTTACATCTGTTTGATAAGTGTGTAACCTATAACTACAGCTGTTAACTGCTGTGTAACTTCTTCCTTTGTTGCTGCTGTATTATCCTTCTGCAATGTGGACAGGGTTAACCAAATATTAATTCATGCAGAAGTGCAGCAGTCATCTTCAAGAAGACCACTTTGCAATGCTCGTCTGTGGAGTGTCTCCAGTGCAGGGGGCAGCCATTTTAGCTGAGTCTGAATAGATCCTGGCGGCAATTGGCTGACGATACAAAGCAAGGAGAAGGATGTCTGCAGGCTGCCGAAAGGTAAGGAGAGGACAGTCTTAGGCCTGGTTCATATTAGTACAATTTTACATACGACGTGAGTTGCAAAGAATTGTATGACAATGCCTGTTCACAGCAATGCAGCACAGCATTGTGCATTTTTGGAAAAAGGCTCTGTGCTACTTTGGTGCAATTGCAGTTCAATTTTGGTTCTTTCAGATTTCAATGGAAATGCACCAAAAATACAAAATGTGCATGAATTTTTGCAGGTTGTTAACCACTTCCAGACCGGACACTTTTACCCCCTTCCTGACCAGGGCAATTTTCAGCTTTCAGCGCTATCACACTTTGAATGACAATTGCGCGGTCATGCAACACTGTACCCAAATGAATTTGTTACCATTTTTTTGAGACAGATAAAGCTTTATTTTGGTGGTATTTATTCACCGCTGGGTTTTTTATTTTTTTGCTATGTAAATGAAAATGTCCAAAAATTTTGAAAAAAAGTGTTTTTTTTAAATAAAATTTTGCAAATAAATAATATTTCATCATAAATCTTGGCCAACATTTATTCTGTTATCTTTTTAGTATAAAAAAAAAAAATCCAAATTAGTTTATAACCAAAAATTACAAATAATTTGTAAACATTTTTTTTTACATTTTTTTTTTTTTTTTTTATTATTATTTTTTTTATTTTTTACATACTGTCGCCCCAGCAGTACAGTGTCACCATGGTGACACTGTACTACTTGTCGGGTGTGATGAAGATTTTTTTTTTTTTTTACACTGATTGCTTTTACACCCATATAGGATGTAAAAGCAATCATTTCTCTTTCTCTCTGTCTGCATTCTTGCAGTCATTGAGAAGTACTGAGTGAGCTGTGATTGGTCACAGCTTGTCACATGGTACAAGGCTGTTGTGAATAGCCTTGTACCATGTGACCTCTGTGATCATTCACAGATTTCACACGTAGTAAGCAATGATGTCACAAGTGACATCTTGCTTACTTCTTTGCATGTGATCACTGATTGGCCAATCAGTGATCACATGATCGGGGGAGGACACAGCGGGCACCGGATCACGGTGCTGCGAGCTCCCAGGGAGCGCGCACAAGCAGGGGGCAGGGAGGCCGTTTATAAATGGCCACCCGACCCTGCACTGCCACCGTCCGGCCGTTTATACACAACGGCCGGTCGGGAAGTGGTTAAGGATCCTTAACAACCAGCTTACAGTGTCCTTCTGACCAAAATATGCAGTAGTATAAAAATGCATGAAGAATACATAAAAAAAGCTGTATTTATGCTGAGATTAAATTACACACAGGTGGACTCTAATTACTAATTAGGTGACTTCTGAAGGCAATTAGTTCCACTAGATTTTAGTTAGGAGTATCAGAGTAAAGGGGGCTGAATACAAATGCATGTCGCACTTCCCAATAAAATACATTTACGTTTTTGGTTGTAACATGACAAAATGTGGAGAATTTCAAGGGGTATGAATACTTTTTCAAGGCACTGTACATATTTCTCCTGTTTAGCCCAGAGTGTGTGGCCACCTTAACAACACAGCTACATAAGGGGTTGCCTACCAGGTGGTAAAAACCATTTCTGAACTTAAAAGGCATTCATCCTACCTATGCTCATCTCACAGAAAGGTGTCCTGATATGCTGCAAAATCTTTGCCATTTCTCAATGTTTATTCTTGTTCTGTATATAGCCCTGCAGGACAGACAGTGCGCAGTCCACATGTGCTTTTCTGCTTCACTGCAACAAGGAAACAGGAGACCTTACTCAGAGAAAAGACATTTAGTTTACCATAGACGCAGCTACAAAATTATAAACACTGCCATCTACTGATTGAAGAATATATCTCTACTGAATAAATAAAAACTGTATTCCAACAATTCTCATTTCTGCATTACAAGAACTAATCCCTTGACTAAGTCACATCAAAATGTTGTCTTAGTTGGAGAAAAGTCCTCTGGGTGCTTGATCCCCCTATAATGGGAAATCTATGGATGCATTGCAGCAACAGCCCTGTAAGATCTGCCAGTGTCTCAGCCAGCACCGAAGTTGTTAATTTGCAAGAACAGCAAGTGCTTATCTGGATCTCCATTCCCCTCCCCCTGATCTAATTCTCTGTTTTGTCTCAGTGTCTTAGCTCTGAAGACAGCCAACTACTTAGTCAAAAAAATAAATAAACTTTTTTTTTGGGTGATGCAACTGCCTCCAAGATTTCCACATATGACTGTTTCTGTTTTGGAACTGCGGGGACGGTACAGCTGGTAATAGTTAAGTCTGTATATTGTATCTTGGAGGAAGTCTACAAGAAGATAATGTACATAATGCATACTCATTTACATCACTCCTCCACACTGCATGTTGCTGTCTGCTTTGTGACTGTACACAGAAGAAAGCTAATAAAATATAAATGAAAAATAGTACAGCCTTGAAGAAGAAATTTAAAAGGTACTGCGTAGACACCTGCCTAACAATATGAAGCTGAAATACAGAAGTCAATTTACCTAGATGACTCTAAAAGCAGGGGCACATTCTATCCATTTAAATATTCCCTTTGATGTAATCTCAGCTTAAATCCAAGGACAAAAGTGTAATACATTTCATTTTACTAGTCCTTAGATGTGGTGGCTGCATTAAATTAGAAGGCAAGTCCAAACCTAACTAAGCTTAAAGTGTTACTAAACCTACAACAGTAAAATCAGTCTGTATATGCAGTAAAGCATGCCTTGTTATACTCACTGTGGAACCTAAGGGGTTAATCCTCTGCATTGTTTAGAAATGCTGTTTGATCCTGCCTTCTCTCATCCCCACTTCTTCCAGTGTCCTCCTCTTCTCTCTTAATTAGACATATCATGTAGAGACACTCTGCACATGCTCAGTTTGGTGTGTATTGCCAGAGAGGTTTTTTTTTTCTTGGGAGAGTGCATGTGATCAGCACAGGGCCAATCAGTATTGTCCAGACAGAGGTCAGGGATTCTGCATCCTCCTAGAGCAGAATGGAAACTCCTCCTACAAGCTCTACTGGACACTGATAGAAGTCACAAGACTGCTCTAACTGCTGATGAGAAAAGGTATTTAGCAGTTTATATTTACTACAATAATTGCACTTCCATGTTGGCTGTACTGTGGGAGAACGGATATAGTGAATGCAGGGTCCTGGGTTTAGTAACACTCCCACCTCCATTCTAAGCAATTCTATCTACCCTGTGAAAGAAAAGATGTCTATACTTACCTATTGTAAAGTCGTTCTGGTCCAGTCACATAATCGGGTCTCAGCACTGGCTTCAGTGTAGAGGAGGGACAGCCAACAACTCCAGCTTTACCTTCAGACTTGCACAGTTGTACTGTACTCCTCCTGTACTGAAATTGCACACTGTGCGCATTAAATTGCACACTGTGCAGCATGTCAGATGGAGCCCACCTCATTTCCTGGCTGGAAGACATTCAGCTTCATCTAGCCCTTTCCTCCCCAACCTTACTCTCTGGGAATCCCCCTTTTATTTATTGTATATCAGTTATTTTAACTGGTTCCCCGCAGCCATATAGCAATATATTTAGGGCTGCACAAAATCAGGTATATGTATATATGTGAGTTTGCATTTCCAGGTAGGGGGCTTGCATGTGCCGCCCTACCTGTACCACCATCAGCTGTCGATCACCAGGTCCCGGCCGGAGATTCCCTGCCAGCACCCAGTGATCGCTGAGGAACAGTGACAGGGAAGAGGTCTGTGCGTAAACAACACAGATCTCTCCCCTGTCAGCACCAGCATGCTGTTTTGTATTGCTCTACAAAGTGCCGCCCTAGGCAAACGCCTTGTTTGCCTCACGGCAAATACGCCCCTGAGGGCAAGTCATTAAAGCATATCTGACCCAAAAAACAAAAACATTATGTAATGTAGCTTACCAGTCCTTAGATGTGGTGACTGCATTAGATTTTTTCAGACTTTTTTTCCTTATTTGCACCTGGTGATCCTACTAGTAACACAATTCCTGTCCTAGGGTGACCACTTATTCTCCATACTGTGTCTCTGGAGATGTAGCATTGTCACCCTAGGACAGAAAAAAGGTTTAGGACTACAGAACACCTCCATTCTCGTTATGATATGGGGAGGTGTTCTGTAGTCCGCAGAAAGAGCTGGAAACAATGTTAACTCATAAACGTCAGCAGAGGTAGAGAGCAGAGAAAGTTATCAGATCACAAGCTTTCTACAAGATCAGTGGTGTTTTTTTTGCATTTGTAACTCTACCCTCCAGAGAAACCGCTGAATTGTTTTACAAGTTTCTCTGCACACCTGAAGATGACACACCTCGGGTCACCCAGCACTAGAGATGGGCTTGATCTTTGAGTCGGACGTAAGTTCGACTTGAACATCGTCCATTAATGTGTTCAGGGAACACATGAATGGTAAGGTCACCACAAGCAAGGTACAATGCTTTGGCCAATCACAGCACAATAGCGTGGAGTTGTCTGTGACATCACCAGGGGCGGACTGACCATTTGGAAACTTGGGCACTGCCCAAGGGTACCCCCCAGGGGTCAGTAGGGGGCCCCCGTGAGATGCCCTGGTACCTTTTTCATAGGCTTTTTTGAGTTTGGGCAAGGACACAGGGGCCCCATGATCCCCTATTGCCCAGGGGCCTCATGAGTTGTCAGTCCGCCCCTGGACATCACCACTAGCTCCGCCCAATTGTTTACATCTGACCGGCAACTGTCAGACCTGTCAGATGCAGCGAGTGCAAAAAATGGCCTGGTCAGGAAGGGGGTAAATCCTCTGGAGGGCAAGTGGTTAATCAACAAACATTGAACCAGTCAGACAACCAGTAAATCTGCCAGGTCAGCAATTTACAAAGTAGAGATGCCAGGACTAGGATGACAGCACTGAGTGTGCAGCCTTAAAACTGAACAAATATTCTCAACATACAAGAGGCATGTGTGTTCTTACCTAAATATTAGAGTGTTTGTGTATTTCTTCCAGATCTTCCTGTAATAAAATCCAGTCACAGCTGCTCTCCCTTTTTGTGCACGATGACTGGTCCTGTCTCCGCCCCTTCTGTAGTTTTCTGCAGCCAACCTGCAGTAGGTGGGGCCTGTTGGGCCCCTCCCACAGCTCTGCTCATTGTTCAGTACAGTAATGATGCCACTGCTACTTTTCCAATTAACATTTGACTGCAAAGGCATTTGATGCACACAAAGTGGATTTATATCTATTTAAAGCGGAGTTCCACCAAATGTGGAAGCTCCACTTGTTTGCCCAACTCCCCCCCTCCACTGTCATCTTTGGCACCTTTTGGGGAGGGAGCGGGGTACCTAGTTTTGACAGGTACCCGCTCCCACTCCTGGCTCAGTTCGCCGCGGCAAAGTGAGATGGAAATTCTGCCCTCTCCTTCCTCCCGCAGTCTCCTGGGAACTTTCACAGGTCCCAGAAGACTGCTGGACCAATCAGGATGCGCAGCGCAACCCATGCAATGCGCTATGAGTACCAGGCTGTGAAGCCATAAGCTGTCACATCCTGGTGCCCACAGTTGAGATGCCGGCGCTATGGAGAGAAGAGACAGCACGGGTGAAGACATTGCTGGACCCTTGGACAGGTAAGTGTTGTGTTTTATTAAAAGTCAACAGATACAGTTTTTTTGTAACTGCTGACTTTTAATAAACACAAAAATGGCTGAAACTCCGCTTTAGGGATATATTTAACTGAAAGATTTTGTGAGCTTTAAAGCTGAACGCCAGACAAGCAGCTAAACTCACAGAAAAGATGGATATGAGGGTTTCTTTTACCTGCCAAGAGATTATTTTTTCTTTCCATCCAGTCCTGGGATTTTCCACAACCCTCCCCCAGACAGCATAGACCTGTCCTGGAGGACAGACCTGATTTTTCTCTGCTGAAGGTAAAGTGGTTATAAAGGCTCAAGTTTTTACTTTCATGCATTCTACTTTTGAACGCATGAAGGGTAAAAAACCTGCGTGCAGCAGGCAGTGCCCCCCCGCCCCCCCAATACTTACCTGAGCCTCATTGCGATCCAGCGATGTGAACAACAGCCTCAGCTTGCGCAGCACGTGTCCCGGGTCTCTGCCTCCTCATTGGCTGCGATCAGCAAGAAAAAGCCATTGGATCC